CCGAACTGGTCGCCTGATGAAATTTTGACTTCATTCCATTAAGCTCTTGACGAACTTTGATGAAATCGTCTGATAGGGAGACATCAGGATCTTCCATAAGGAATCCGTCGTCAATAGGAAGATTTCCCTGATCCTGGGGAATTTGTTCCCCGGTTAGGTTAGTCGCTTCCCCTGCGGTTGCCTGATTGCTAGTATTAGCAGGTTGGCTTGCAGGAGGAGTTTGAGTAATCCCGGGAGTCGCGAATAACCTGCGCTGACGTGCTGTTGTTCGCACTGAGGACAAATTATCTAAACGGCTTGAAACAACGTTCTGCGCGTTTGAAAAATTTGTCTGGGTGGTTTGAACACTTGTTAAAGTTTCCTCGATTGAGTTTAACCTTTCACCAAAAGTGGTGTTGGCACTAACGAGTGTACCCATCTGATTGGTCAGATCGGTGGTTGTCTGAGTAAGCAAGGCAATCGTATCGCTCAAAGCTTGCTGATCAGCCATAGTTTCTTGGTTGGGAAAGAAGGATTTTGAGATTAAAGAATTTTGTGGTAACTCCCCACAGGCGGCGCCAAAATATGGATGTAGGAGTCACACTCGATTATCTTTAAGTATTTCAGTGGAGAAAAACTCTTGTAAAATCAGGAAATGAATATGAGAATTCGAAAGGAAAAATAACCAAGAAACTAAGTAAAGAAAACTGATAAGAATAAAGTACAAAAAGCCTTGCGAAAGTGATAAAAAGAGAAAAATATATTGTATTGCTTAGAAGTAATGAGATTCCTCCTCTCAAACACATGCGTTTGAGGTTGTTTTTATAGAGAAAACATGATTAATGCGATCATTTACTGCTCATAATCGCGTTGATAAGCATTAATCATGTAAGTTACAATTTGACCGAAACGGCTTGAATTCGAACTATCTTGGGCTTCGCGTGGACCTTCCGAACTCTTTCTTGTTGACTCCGAACTCCCGCGTCTTGACGCTGCCGCGAGCCTCGAACAATATGCTCCTCGCTTCGGCCTTTCTCTATGCGAACTGTTTGTTGAATAAGAGCGAACTTCGTACTGGTAAAGATCGAACTCTTTTAGTAAACTGAATCGAACTCCCGACTGGTTAAGCTCGATTCTCATGATAAAATATCTTTAATTCCAAGAGGATTATTACGTAATAATGACGTGGACAGATCCAAATAGATCCTACCGAAGATGTGTGGGATCCAACCCCAACCCCGACCATCCATTTATTCTAGTCTGTAATCTATCTCTGACAAAGGAGAAGATTTTTATCTTAGAACCACCTAGACTTTCTGGCAAACCGAGATAGTAACCCATGCCACCAATGTTAGTGATACCGAGAGTTGCTTTAATGTCCTCCTTGACAGAATCATCGTCCTTATGTCCAAATTGAATTGAAGATTTTAGAAAATTAATTTTTTGTCCCGAGATAGCTTCATATGTTTTTAAAATTTCCAAAATTACCCTACATTGTTCCTTATTAGCCTTAAAAAAAATAAGCTATCATCCGCAAATAGCAGGTGTGAAAGGGACTTGCTGTCGCAACTTTGATACCCGTGATTAATTTTTCCCGTTCTACTTTCTGAATATTCGCAATTAACACCTCTGTATATAGAATAAATAAATATGGGGAAAGCAGGTCACCTTGTCTTAACCCCCTCTCTGGGACAATTAAACCTCTACGTTGCCCATTTAAGAGAACTCTATATTGGACCGTTGTGATGCACCACATTATCCAATTAATCCATTTTTCACATAAACCCAACTTTCGTAATACCTTCTCAATGAAAATCCACTCTACCCTATCATAGGCCTTGCTCATATCAGTTTTAATAGCCATGAATTTTCCTTTACAAGATGGATTAGTTCTTAACCCATGAAACATCTCTTACGCAACAAGAATATTGTCCGAGATTAATCGTCCTTCAACAAATGCCGATTGAGTTTCCGAAATTAAACTTGGTAGGACCGTCTTGAGTCTTTGACAAAGAATATTCGAAATAATTTTATAACCCACATTGCAAAGACTGATAGGCCTTAATTCCGTCATCCGTGTCGGTCTTTCCGTTTTTGGAATCAGGCAAATATTAGTCGTATTTAATCTTTTATCAAAAATTCCATTCTCGAGGAAAAAATTGACCAAAAATAAAAGATCCGTTTTAATAGTCAACCAAGCTTTTTGAAAAAACAAAGCTGTCATACCATCTGGTCCCGGTGCTTTTTCCGGATGCATCATAAATAGCGCCGCTCTCACTTCACCCTCCGTCGCGGGTGCTGTGAGAAAAGCATTAACATGATCGGTAATCAGAGTCTGTACTTCCGCCAAAGATTCCTCAAAAGCCTCTGGTCTAGCTGTAGTGAATAAATCTTTAAAATTAGAGACCCCAGTATTTCGAATATCTTTATCCTATGCTGACCAGACCCCGTTTTCATCATGTAAACCTGTTATTCGATTCCTTGCTCGCCTCTGTTTTGTTAGAGCATGAAAGTATTTGTTGTTATTATCCCCTAACTGCATCCAAAAACTCCTGCTTTTCTGATACCAATACATTTCTTCATCCCGATAGGCCTCTTCTAGCCGTACTGTTAATTCCGTGATCTCCTCCCGTGATCTTCTATCATCTCTCTACGCCGCATATAGTTCGGTTTTTAGTTCATCAATTGTTTTCCGACCATAAGGCATTAACTCTCGCCGCCATTGCGAAATGGCACGCCGACAATTAGACAAATTTTCCACAAACTGCTCATCTCCTAACTAGAGAAAGAATATTATAGTCATGAAAATAACTCATCTAACCCCCCCCCTAATTTTTTTTGGAACACTCTAGTAATTAAACTCATAATTTGTGTTAATCTAGTAACTTTCCCTTAAAATAATGGGAGAATTACTAGATTAACCCAAATTTTGAGTTTAATTGCTAGATTGACTCACAAATAATTTAGGTTAAATGAGTTATTTTCATGCCTAAAATACCCTTGTCTCATGTGTAAAAAAAAACAAAAAAAATACAAAAATACTCTTCATAAAAAATTCCATCAATTTTAGAAAAATCTGCTATCTACTTGTGACAGATTAATTTATAAACTGCAGAATTATTTGGCCATGACAGATTGACAGATTTATTTTGGCAGACTATTTGCTAGACAGATTTTTTAGAATATGGTTACGACAGACTTACAGAATTTTAGCAGATTTATTTTTCTTGACAGATTTTTTTTTCATTCAACCACAAACTTTAACAATTTATGACATACTTATTGTAATGTCAGGTTGATTTAATTTGTAAGAGGCGGCAGATTTATTATTTTTGAAAAAAAACTGTCATGTTGTAACAGATTTATTGACCAAAAATTAATAACTAGCTTAACGGCTAATGGTAGCAGATTTGTTTTATGTTATGACAGATTAAATTATATTACCATAAATCTGTCGTTTGATGGCAGATTTGTTAAAGTAAAAAAAAATTGCTAGAATGACTTTTATAATTTTGTATGTTATGACAGATTTGTAATTATGAACCCCTTTGATGACAGTGTTTTTTTTTTCTGGTAGATTTTTTTTTGCTACAATAATATTTACAGTGGTAACAGTTTTTTTTCTTTGTAATGACAGACTTATTAGAGCAGTTACCATATTTACCACTAAAACATTAAATATCGACATCTAGGGTTTTTGTGAAAAAAAACGTGGCCTCCTTAGTTTTTGTGAAAAAAACATGGCCTCATGAAAGGAAAGTTTGATTTGGGGAAAATAAGATGACCTAAATCGAGTTTGAATTTGCTTTAGTTGTTTTGTTTGTTAGTTTTTCTGTTTTTTTTACTATTCGGAAATCAAATAAATTTTTTTTTGTGAATATAAATGTTGCAGTAATCTTGATTAAGGTTAATTGGTTTTTTTACACAAAATTTGTGTTAGTCTAGTTATCCATCACTAATGAGAGTCATTTTAGTTATTATTGTCCAGTTTTGAGTCAATCTGGGTAATTTTCAGTAATAATTAACAGCCTAAATTTTACCAATCAAGCTGATATATATTTTTATTTTTAAAAGTTTCTACATCCACTATTTGGTTTAGACATTTGATTTAGAATGTTTAATTTTTATTGGTTTGGTTAAGAGTAATCCACTAATCCATTCTAACATAAACCATTTCAATCCAATTCATTAAACTCACTAATCCATTAAATCCGTTAATCCATTAAGATCCAAATTTCTTATTCATTATATCCATGGATTGGATTAGTTTGGATTGATCCATTAACTTTTATCCATTTTGACACCCCTACTTATTCATGACTAAGATTTTTTATCTCTACAATAATTGTTTGAGAAGTAGAAACGCACCATATTGAAAGTTAGGGCATTGGAGGCCTGTGGTTAAAAGTTAGAATGATTTGTCCTAAACACCCTTAATGAATTGTTCTTCTCGAAATTTCTCCTTCTTCGTAATTAGGGGTATATAAGTCTAATCGTGTGTTGATCTCTATAATAATGTCCTAAACACCCTCAATTTCGAAATTTTTTGTTCTTAATTGCTAGGGGTATATAAGGCTAATCGTGTTTTGAGATGATTAGTCTTAATCACCCTTAATTTTTTTTTTATATAGTGTAATCGTTGGGGATACGAATGTCATAATGTCTCGACTTTAAGGATTATGGAATCTTAGCTTTAATTTATTTGTTTATTTTTTGGATAAATTCTATATCTTAGTAGTTAATATTCGTTTTTGTTAGTTTTCTGATTTAGTTTCTAATTAAAAAGTTAAATTTCTTAAGATAATGATTGATGTTTGCCCTAATCTTAAAGCTATATATATTGTTGATCGGTGAGAATTAGGTATTATTTTTTCTGTGCCCATTAGATAGTTTTCACCGTTATGATTTTTTTATACAGCTACGATTCTGATGAATCAAATTGTTTGTCATGCAAATACTGTTTTTATTTACCTTTAGACGTCGTGTGCATATTGTTTGTTGTTTGTTTTATTTTTTGCATTAATTCGTTGATTTATTGTTTTGCTGATTTGATTCTTTTGATATGTGTTTCAGTTTTGTAGAACGTGGGAGGTTCCATCGAGAAAGCTTTCGGACGAAGATGGTTTTGACGAGAACAGAACGAGGTTTGGAAAGGTATTTCTATAGATTTGGTTTGTATATTTTACATATATTTACCTATTTTAATGTTTGTGTTTCTTTGTGTTATATTATATATTTTTATATGCGATTTTATTGCGTATTAGTTGTCCCTGCATTCATAATTTTTTTCAGCATATATTTTGGATTTTTATTATGTTTTTTTAACCTCTCAGGTTACAATGAGATGTGGGCATACGATCATCAAAGCGTGTTTGTTTCATCGTACAAAAAGTCAGTCTCTAATCTAAACTATATTTTGTATTTATCATGAATTTACATGCTTTTCTTTTTGATTGCTAGAAACCCTAACGTATATTTACTTTCTAAAACACAGAAATATGTTTTGAAGCTCACGAAAACACAGAGGTTGCTCGCTCTAATGTCATTATCGTGCAAGTTATCGTC